AAAGCAGACTTTGGGGCAAAAGAAGAACTAAAATGTGGATCAATATCAGCATGGCGTTTTCCACGTCCACGTCTAACTTTGACTTGACAGAGACATGATGAAATGTTAGAATATGATCAGTATGTTATTCTAATGTTGATAAAGCTTACTGCTAGTCTCATACAGACAAACTAACACAGAGAATAAAATTATAACTTTCAACACACTCAAATGCAGTTTAGTGTAGACCAAGTGACAGCTTTCCCACCCCGACAAGCCCCTAACCATTATGCCTACTTTAGGAAAATTGACCATTTATATCATCATGTCAAGCCTTGCCTATTTAGAACATCAGAATACCCAAAGATTTTTGAGTTTGCCCCTGTAATTCAAATGTAACCCCTGTACATGATCTAAATGTTTAACTTGCCTTTTTGTGGAATTCCCATCAGTTCAAAAGTGTTCAAGAGTTTCACAGAACACAGTGCAAAAATACAAGAAACGACATCAGCAGGACATCAGACAGACAGAACAGTCAAAGACAAAGACATCAGCACACAGACAGATGATAAGCATGTCAGCGCAATCGGTCAGCCCGTTAGCAAACACATGGGTGGAGAAGCAAGCAAAATGGAGTTAACTTCCATGCAAGAGTCATGATGGATATATCTCCCACTGGGGATTGGTTAGTTTGCAATCAATGCATGCCACAAACGCGACTGATCAGATCAGTAGCAACAAATAGAATAGAAAAACAGATATACTTTTGTGGCAATAAAATTCTTTTTATGCCATCTGCATTCAAACAGACATGTCTATGCAGAAAGGCACTGAAATAAAGATGAGATCAGGGATGGAGGGGTGGGGGTGGGGGGTCATTCTTTCACACACAACTTTCTTGAGACAGAATGGGGTTGCCTGAACAAGGCAAAAATTATAAATAAAATATATGATGGCAAGAAAAGATTTTGTTGCCTTTTATTTCCTGTTGTATAGAATGTGGGGATGTTTAATTTTAAGCCTAATGGCACAAAACATAACAAAAATGAGGAAGAAAAGTATTACGTTTTTTTTTTTCCAACCACCAAAATTCCATGCGGCACAAGATGAGATGAAACAAGAGGATCATCTTTAATCCTGGAAAATGGAAGGATGAAGACCCCCAAAAGGGGGTGGGGGTGAAGATAAAATGCTGGGAAATACGGCAAAGTAACCAAAATCACATAAATGGTATGTCAAAGAGTGGATACAGAAGGAAGATGTTTTTCTACATGAAAAAAGGTTCAACCAAAACAGAAACAGAACAGAAAAGTATCATGCAAACTGTCCACGAAATCTGAAGCGAAGGTCAGACTGATGATGTGAATTTCTGTGTCAACATGAAATCGTATGAGTGTGGTGGTTTGTGGCTAAGTGTGCTCGCATCGAATGTCAGATGAGAAAAGATGAAAGGTAACACTGGAACCGTCCCTAAGCATATACTTCCTGTTGCCACTGAATTTGAGAGGACTTGGGGCTGGTATTAGATTTAACGCAGTTAGGGAGAATTTATCTAAAGCACAACTGTCTGCCATCAGCTTCAAACTCTTGCAGAGAGTAAATCTTTGTATAATGAGCAGAGTGACCTTGTAAGTTTGAGGTAAATGCGCTGTAAAATTAACAAACAAATAAATAGGGGCCATCTGTAAAGTCAAAGGTAACGACAGAACCATATGGATTCTAGCCTGCCGGGTAAACAGGTATGACACACTTTAAAAACGATGATAACCAAACATTGCTGTTGTTAGAAGTTGTTTTTTTTATGACTGAACAGATAGTGAAAGTACAAACAAACAAAACCTGTTTTAATTGGTGTGTTTGGAATTGGGGTTTTACAAAAAAAAAAAAAAAAAAAAAAAACTGGTCAAAGCAGGGCATATGCTTTGTATATTGGAGGGTGAAGTTCGAGGTAAATTTAAGGGCCTTAATTAGTTTTTCCAAAGGCATTTTGGCGCAATTAAAGGCCCTTCAGTTGAGGGTGACTGTGATTTTTCCAAGTAAGACATGTTCCTGGATCAACAACTGTGTTCCTGTCCAAAAACTTGGTCCTAACCTTATCCCTACTCCTATTCAGAAACACGCTGTACTAGGTAAAATCACATTCACCTTCAGTTGAGAGGTACATGTACCAATACATGTGAATGTGAGTTCACCAACTACACCGTGTAACTGGATCAACAGTTCACTTCAGAATGAACATTTCCAGAAAATGTACTCACCCCCATGCACATCATCCAAGATGCTCATGTCTTTCTTTCTTCAGATGAAAAGAAATTAAGGTTTTTGAGGAAAACTCTCCAAGATTTTTCTCCATATAGTGGACTTCAACAGGCTGAAGGTCCAAATTGCAGTTTCAACGTAGCTTTAAATGACTCTACAGGATCCAATAAATATATACATTTTTTTGAAAATTAAAGATCATTTGGCTGGATAATTCCCTTATTTCCATTTGAAACCATCAATAACTGTTGAAGTCCACTATATGGAGAAAAATCCTGAAATACTTTCCTAAAAACCTTAAAGGGATAGTTCACCCAAAAATGAAAATTAAGTCATTAATTACTAACCCCTATGCTTTACCAACCCCGTAAGACCTTCATCCATCTTTGAAACACAAATGAAGATATTTTTGATTAAATTTGAGAGGTGGATCACTGCTACATAGACTGCCTAAGGGATTTAAACTTGACGGCCCAGAAAGACAATGTTTAAATATTCCATGTGACAACAGTGGCTCAAGTATAAGTTTATCAAGCGACGAGAATACTTTTTGTGCGAAAAAACAAACAAAAATAACAACTTTATTCGACTATTCCTTTTCTTCCTTCTGGGCCTGAGACGAGAGTTCAAGAGATTTCATTATTTTTGTTTGTTTGGTTTTTTTTCGCACAAAAAGTATTCGCGTCGCTTGATAAACTTATAATTGAGCCACTGTTGTCCCATGGAACATTTTAAACATTATATTATATTACATTATATTTAGAACATTATAGAACATTATATTTAAACATTTTCTTAAAATGACTTTCTGGGCCGTCAAGTTTCAATCCCTTAAGGTGCCTATGTAGCAGTGATCCACTTCTCAAATTTAATAAAAAAATATCTTCATTTGTGTTCCGAAGATGAACGAAGGTCTTACGGGGTTGGTACAGCATGGGGGTGAGTAATTAATGACTTCATTTTCATTTTTGAGTGAACTATTCCTTTAACGTCTTTTTGACTAAAGAAAGAAAGACATGAATATCTTGGATGACGTGGGGAGAGTAAATTATCCAGGAATTTCAATTCTGAAGTCAAATAATCCTGGAACAACACTGCAATCAATCAGATTTGAGGGACAAGTTTACCAAGTTTAGGTTTACAACCAGGGTGCTTCTACATCAGTGTTATTCAGCTATCATTTCCATCTGATTTTAAAGATAAGCTATGGGTAGGATTAGGTTTAGGGGTATGGATGGGGTTAGGGCAGGATTTTCGGACAGGAATGTTGTTCCAGGATCAACAACATACTGTATATTTATCAAGGGACATTTCTTACTTGGCAAATGGTGACCTCAATGTGCAGGCAGACCACTGAACTTTCATTAACTGAACAACCCTAGCATCCATAATGGCCTTGTAAGCACTAAAATCAACAGCAGGGTTTTAATACTGTGACGGCTGACGGCAGGAGTTTGATGAATCCCAAGTTTTTTAAAAAACGTACCAATTAATACGTCATACTCGTACTGCGCAAAACGTTTGTTTAACCTTGAGAAAAACACAAGCTATATGTGGAGAAAGGTGAGCACAGAAATTCGAAGATATCTGTTCTCTATTAGATGTTTAAAGGCAAGCCTTCAATGTGAGGAAACAAAGGAACAAACAGGAAGGAGGAGTTGTTTCTGTTGCAGTTAGTCCGATACACATCAGAAATCTCTATGCTGAAAGCATTATTCTTTTTGATTCGTAAACATCTCAAAATGTATCATCTGTCAAAGACGCACACACACACACACGCACTGCAAGAAATCCATTGTGTACAGGATTGATACATTTTGAAGCATCAGTGAACTACATGGAGTTTGATACTAATTTTGTACTTTTGTAATAAAGTTTGGCTCTCTATTGATTGCGGAGAGGACAAAATTAGTATAAACACAGAACCATGTTAGTGACGTTCGGCCCCATAATAAAGTGTAACTCTGAAACAGGCCAATGCTTCCTGACTCTTTTAATTCCATTACGATATCATCTGCATGTGAACCGATTTAGACAAATCAGTCCACAAGCCATTTGGATTCAGTACAACAGTGGTCCAAAAAAAGTGTTTGGACACTTAAGTCACACCTTAAAATGTATGAATGTCACTGCAAATTAGATTACAAAATATCAAAGCAAGTGATATGTACTTAAAGACCAACACTTTTCAGGCAAACAATAATGTTTTCAATAGATCCTCATTTATCAATTACTCAATAGATAAACTGTTTAAAATTTAGAAAACGCATTCAAACGTAGGACACTGGCACAGAATAAGCAATGAGCATTCATGTTAATGCATCCAAATTTATCTTAAATAATTCCCTTAAATATCAATGCAATTCATAGTGATTTATGTGATAAATGAATCAGCATTTCATGTATCATTCCAACCCTTTAAATGACAGCCTTGATAATTAATTAACAGACACTTTCTGAAAGTCAGACATTAGTAGAACATGTCCACAGTTGATGTTTTGGAGTACAAGTACCATTTGCTTTGATATTTTATATCCAAACCAATTCAACATACAGACATTTAATATGACTTAAGTGTCCAAATACATTTTGGGACCACTGAATATCACTAGAGATATATGCATTTGAGCTTGAGTCTTTTAGTGACACTTTTGAAGTTACACTGGGTTCTCATGGGGGTGATGCTTTGAGAGGGAGAACTCAAATATAAGAGAGTGAGAGACCAAATTTAAGCAAGCACAACCATAACACACCCATCCCACCTGTGTGTCCCCCGTCACACTCCTCCAGATCCTCGTCGTCGCTGGAACATTCTGCAGAGGACACAATGTCATCCGTCGTCTGCTGGATCAGCCAGAGGCGTGTGGAGACAAAACAAACAGAACAAACATTTAAGTGAAGCCAAATCTACCAACACAAAAAGGATCATGGAGCAAGCATTATATTCTACTTCTCTCCCCTATTTCTCAAGGGCAGCAGACTGGATGGGGACTGAAATGTCAGGTTTGTTTTTCTCTTTGGGTTTATTTATGGTGGCTGACTCTTCATACATCGTCTCCCATGTCCAGCTTCTCGAGGGCCGTCACAGATAATCACTGTCTCTGGACGCTTTCCTTCTGCTGGCCCATCAGCACTTTCCTCCATCCCACAATCCTGATTTATGAACACGCTTGTTCCCGCCTTCTCGCTCTCCCCCAGCTCAGGCGCTCTGGCGGTGTTGTATTTCACCCCACATGCACTGTTAATCAGAGTGGATTGCTGCCGCGATAAAATAAGCCCTGTCACAAAGCAAGGGTTATGAAATCATAGCGCTGATTGAGTTTGCAGTGCCTGGTGAGAGGACGAGCTTTAACTATTATTGAGTTTGACAGGCTAATGAAACAGAGTTCGGCTGGAGCCTGGAAAAGCGTACGCGGGTGGAAAGGATGCTCTATGGAAAGGACATTTGTACTAATGTGCTCATAGTTGGAGTGAGAGACACTTTCAACGGGATTAGCGCAGATTATTATCTCAGAATCTCTTGATTGATACATTTTAAGAGTATACGATTATTTAAATAAGTATGGCAGTGAGCCAGGCTGCTAAAAATAGGCTACCAGAATAGATTGTCTGCGATGCTGGTATGCTAGTGTCCCCGCCATCTTATCGTCTTAATGTAATACTACCAATGAATCTTATTTCAAGGTAAAAATTAGGTTTAAGTTTCTGAACTTTGCATTCTAATCAAACAAACCGGCACCGTGTGTGATTTTCCACCTCAGAATGTTTTAGATGTCCCTCTAATTAAAACAACTGATATAATTCAGTACAGAGACATCTAAAACAATCTGGGAGGTGCAATCTCAACTGGAGCTGAGAAACACTGCTCTATGATCTAGGTCTGGATTCACGAAAAGGTAGTAAAAATGCTCTTGTGTGCATTTTGTCCGAAATTATTAAGAACTTTTCTGAAGAACATGTTATTTTTGTTCTGAAACAACAGGCTTTGCTATTAACGGATTGATTGACAGTTCTTCTCAATGAAAAACACCTCAAAGACAGTGTTGTGTGCTGAATATATCAGTCATAATCATTTACAATAAGCATGCACACTTTCCGTTGAGACTGGCTTGACAGGAGTCTGGCACGTTGTCGTGTTTTCATCTGTGTGTTCTGTTGAATTCAATTGCTCTCCATCTTTGTATGAACGCTTTCATATGTGTTGAATGCTTCTGAAAATTGAGTCATCACATTGTGAAATAATAACTGACATCTCTATTTGATTCATTGTAGAATTCAGCAAAAACTCACATCACGCATATATCCATGGCCGATCATTGTTCACATTATTGATCGTTGGTGTCACTTCAGTTTACTCATGTTTATTTATTCACATTTACATTTATTCATTTAGCTGACGCTTTTATATGTCAGAGGTCGCACGCCTCTGGAGCAACTAGGGGTTAAGTGTCTTGCTCAGGGACACATTGGTGTCTCACAATGGATTCGAACACGAGTCTCGGGATTATGTGTTAGGATTAGGCTTGGATTGTGTTATTGCCGTGACACACCAATCTGACGGTTGGCTGTCCGTGAGCACTTGTCACACTCGTGTTCCACACGTCAGCTCTAGTCAGACTCACGTCGATGGGAGTTCACCCGATTCAACACGTCAGGTCTGTCGGTGAGAGAGGTCACTCTGATTGGCTGTTCATTTAGTGAACGAGTCTCACACTAGAATAAAAGACAACGTGATGAAAGCGAGCACAGCTTTTCTAATTTTAAGTCATCTTACCTGAGCCTTCCAATATGCATTTTCATAACAACATGAGCAGGGGTGTGTTTCCCGAAAGCATCGTTAGCCAACTATGGTCGCAAGTTCTGTCGTTATCAGCATAGTTCAACGAGTCGGTGTTTCCCGAATCCATCGTTCCAACGAACATTTACTTGAGCAAAATAAGCAAGCTGACATTAAGTATAACTGGTGCCTTTTATTTAGAATAAATACAAATGTAATTTACATCTTTTAGTTTTTCAAAAGATTTAAAGTACCGATTTTGAAGAGTGAGCATGTGCAAACATGCTCTTCTATGTAAGAACGAGCCAAATATTGAGTCTGGTAATGAAGCAGAACAACTGAGAACAATTAGAAATAGTCCTCAGATGACATGTCTGTAATTTATATAAAACAAATCTAGCGTTAATTGGATCTCAAACAGTTTCAAAAAGTAGTTATTATTCCACCACATGGTTGAACGATACATCGCGACTAGCTAGTTGATTTCTCCAACGATGCATCGTACTATGGAAGTGAAGCAGCGAACTACATAGTTGTACGGGAAACGCACCCCAGCATGACTGGTTTTCAAAATGGTAAGCAAGCGCTGCTTTGTTTACAGTTTATGTATCTGCAGGCCTATTTTCATTTACCCTTTGAAAGACAAATATAGACTATTGATACCTGCTGATATAGATGTTATTTCCTTACTTTTCCTTGTGGTAGTTGGCAGTCAGCTGTAGTTTTTGGAGTGTGTTCAAGCGCATAAGGCTACAATTTAAAGTGGCATCTTATTGCATCAATAATAACAACTGATTTCTGTCTGATGTTAGGGCTAGTGTTTGATCAGTAATTTTTTTAAAATACTCTGGTTTTACTTTATTTTGATGGTCCCTTTAACACATTCTGTTGACTATAAATAACGTTGCACCTACATGTCTACTAAGAGTGTTAGTCGAGTATTAGTAGACTGGTAGGGTTAGGGTTAGAATAAGTTGACATACTTGCAAAGTTACTTATAGTCAGTAGAATGTCTGTTCTAGAAGCATCACAATAAAGAGTAAGCAGATATTAAGCAGACAGTCAATTAATACTCTAATGAGAGTTAGTTACATGTTGCAAAGTTACTTATAGGGTGCTTTCACACCTGCCTCATTTAGTTCGGTTGAATCGCACTAGAGTTCACTTTCCCCCTTGGTGCGGTTCGTTTGGGCAGGTGTGAAGGCAGCAATCGCACTCGGGTGCGCACCAATAGTAGACCAAACAAGCGTACCGAGACCTCCTTGAAGAGGTGGTCTCGGTACGCTTTCAAATGAACTCTGGAGGGGTTCGTTTGTGGTGAGAACGTGATCCGACCTCGAACAGACCCAACTGCCAATTAACTGCGCATTTTTGGACTAAACCAGCTGCCGTAGTAAAACAAAATGATTATTTTTATAGTCAATAGCGTTCCCTTTAAGCCATGACTGACTTACCTCATTCTGGACTCTCACTAAAACACTCATCATAAACACTGAAGTTGTCCGCACTGCACAGTGAACCTCTTATTTATATCGTGTCTATACTTTGTTGTTTATGAGGGGATTTGCGAAAGGATAAAGCTTGTGCTGATTCTGAACATAAATTGTGAGCGAATTCTCCGCATATCAGCCGGATTTTGCTCGATCCTCTTTGTTTACTTCCAGGAGTTCAGTTGGGATTTTCACGCACGTTAATTCTGACCAATCGAAGTGCAGTTATGGAAATATGTTCAAGACATATCTGGCCAACGAGTAATGTGGATGTTGTCACGTGACTATATTTTGGTTCGTTTCATCAACTGATTCGGACCAGAGCAATCAGTGTGGTGTGAAAACGAACCAAAACTGAAAAACGCTACAAAAGTATCATTTTTCGCCCTTGGTACGGACCAAATGAACAGATGTGAAAGCGCCCATAGTCAACACAATGTTCAAAACGGACCATCAAAATAAAGTGTTACCAATACTTTCTTCCAAGTAATTCAGTGAGATTCACAAGCTAAGGGCTTAAGATCAGCCAGAACAAGCAATGAAATTAATCCTCAAATAAACTGGTGGGGTCATGGTGGTGTCATAATGGTGCTGGATAACAGCAGATCAATCCAGCCAAGCGACAGTTACTGTAATACAGATGTAAAGCAGTCATATTACCAGCAGATGTGACATTGATGGAGCTCCTCAAGACCAGAGGGGTCTCACCCCTTACAGTTCATCGGTGCTGTTCTCAAGAGTTTCCCAGAGTGTGAAATCACAGAAGATTCTTGACAGATGTTTGTGCATGACCAGTTACATAAGTGGTGTCAGAAGACAGGCTAGTCCAGACCATAACAGCTCAGAAATGGTTTTCTGCCAGCACAGAGCACCACTAATGCCACTAATGTCCCATCTACTGTCTGTGACCACAGCTCAAAAATGAGGGCAATACAAAACCAATTCCAGACTGCCTACAGAGAACTACTCTGCTGCAGCACAACAAACTCTATTGTAAATAAAGTGTATACTTAACAATAATATATTAAACACAATTTTCTGTTAATGTTTAAAGGGTTAGTTCACCCAAAAATGAAAATGAAGTCATTAATTACTCACCCCCATGCTGTACCAACCCCGTAAGACCTTCGTTCATCTTCAGAACACAAATTAAGATATTTTTGATTAAATTTGAGAGCTGTCTCACTACCACATTGGCTGCCTAAGGGACTGGCTCTTGACGGCCCAGAAAGGCAATGAAGAAAATGTTTAAATATCCCATGTGGCTACAGTGGCTCAACTATAAGTTTATCAAGAATACGAGAATACTTTTTGTGCGAAAAAACAAACAAAAATAACGACTTTATACGACTATTCCTTTTCTGCGTCGTGGAAATCTAAGGAAGTCTCGTTTCAGGCCAACAAGGAAGAAAAGGAATAGTCGAATAAAGTCGTTATTTTTGTTTGTTTTTTCGCACAAAAAGTATTCTCGTTGCTTGATAAACTTATAGTTGAGCCACGGTAGTCACTTGGGATATTTAAACATTTTCTTCATTGACTTTCTGGGCCGTCAAGAGCCAGTCCCTTAGGCAGCC